CATGATCAGCTCAATGGCACCGACCAAGAACAATGCCCTAGTGGTAAACAGTTGCACTACCAAGGCAAGCAGTTCAAATCCACCAGCTGCTCCATGCTGGAAAGACAGGCCTCCTCTTATACAATGTACAACTTCAGAAAACTCACTGGAGGGTCCTCTAGGACTTAATTCTGACTCAAAGGCAATGAGGGGTTTTTGAGAGATGTTTTACTAAATGGAATTATACAATATGGAATCGTTTTTTGAATGAGTCTTTCAATTAATATAGCATTTTCAAGGTTCACCTGTATGGAACCACATGTCAGAATATCTTTCCTTATTATATGGCTTAAGTATGTTCCATTTTGTTTATCCATTGACATTGTTCATTAAAGGATTCAGAGTGTTGTGACTTTTTAACTATGATGAATGATGGCATTCACATGCAAGTTCTGGTGTAGACACATGCTTTCAGATCTCTTGGATTCCTTCTTTCTGGAATTTGGCCCCTTGAATTCCCAGGTTTTTGGTAATCTCATAGTCCATTCTGCAGTTCCTGTGTCAACTATGCTGTACGTTTCTGCTTGAGCTCTGTGATGGGCAGCCTCGGGAGGCGCCTATAGTTATATCAACTTGGATCTAACCCATCACATTTCCTTTATTTGAAAGATTAAATCCTTTCCCATTCTGCAGCTTTGAGTTGCTCTCCACTGCCTTCAGACAGTAGTTTTGTGTTTTGTACAGAATTTGTTATTGCTATTGGCAGGAGAGAGAGTTTAATAGAAGCTGTTCAACCATTAATGGAAGCCAAAAGTTGCCAACTAAGGAACTGGATTTGGTTCTACAAGCTGGAAGGTTCTTCACGGAGGCCTCATGGGTTTCAGCCCGTGCCTTTGTAGACTGGTGTGGCTGTTGGTGAGGGGAAAGTTAGGCAACAAGGGAAGCAGTGAGGAGATGCCTGCAGTGGGTCAGGAGTGAGAAAAGAATAGCCTTAACAGGAGGAAGAGGACAGTGGAGATGAAATGAGAAGATCAGGTAGGAGAGATTAAAAGAAAGATTCTAGTTTGGGGACAGGCCATGGGGCATAGTTTGTGTGTCTTAGTGTTGTTATTACAGAAAATATCACAGTGGGTGGCTTTTTTTTTAAATTGATGACTTTTTTTTTTCATTCTTAATTTCAATGAACATCTACAGAGATTTTGGATTTTCATTCATTCATTGTTGCACTTTTCTCCCCACCCACTCCAACATCACCCTTCCCACCAGTTCGCTCCTCTCCTTGACAAGCAAAAGGAAAACTCCTTCATTGGTATCCATTTCCCCCGCACACCCCCACCCCCACCCTGAGTATACTCTACTCTGCAACCCTCATTCCAGACTCTTATGATAATCATAATGCCCTAAAATATATTACTTTTAAACTATTCTCTCCCTCATCGGCTTCAATGCAGTAAACATAATTTATCCAGTTTTTCTCAGTCTTACCCCCATCCTGATGTCAGCCTCATTCTACAACAATGGCACCATATAGTATTTGTCCTTTTGTGACTGAGATATTTCACTCAGCATAATGTCCTCCAGGGTCACCCATTTTGTATAATATTTCATGAGTTCCTTGTTTTTCAATGCAGCGTAGTATTCCATTGTGTGAATATACCACAGCTTCTCTCTATCCATGTGTTCGTTGATGGGCACTTAGGTTGTATCCAATTCCTTGCTATTGTGAACAAAGCCACAGTAAACATGGGTGTGCAGATATCTGCTTGGATCTCAGTTATGGTATCTTTAGGGTATATTCCCAGTAGTGGAATTGCTGGGTTAAGTGGTATCTCTATTTGCAACTTTTGGAGAAAGCACCATGCTGCTTTCCACAGTGGTTTCACCATTTTACACTCCCATCAGCAGTGAATAAGGGTTCCATTCTCTCCACAACCTCACCAGCATTTGTTGCTTGCTGGTCTGGCTTTTAAAAAGAGAAACTAGTTTCCGGCTCAGTGGTAGAACCATGGTTGTGTTGCGTCTTACCAGAGCTGGTGGTGCAGGTGCTCAGGCCGGAGGTGCCGGATGTGAGGAGCAGGAACCCAGCATCATGGAGCCTGAGGATAATTAATAACTGCCAGAGATTGGACTTCTGTTATCATCTAAAAAGCCCTCAGTAAGCTGATTAGACCCTTGACCTGTCAAGTCTTCATGATGCTCGGTCCTGAGGGAGCTGAAGGATTTGTGGTCAAGCTCCACGGCTTGCTGTGGTCTTGTTCTATTGGAGATGTGCAGAATTTCCTGTCTGAATGCAAAATTCATGATGGCATGGCAGGTGTTCATTTCATCTATACCCAAGAAGGCAGGCAGAGTGGTGAAGCTTTTGTTGAACTTGAATCAGAAGATGATGTAAAAATGATCCTGAAGAAAAAGAAAGCATGGGGCACCACTATTTGAGATATTCAAGTCCCATAGAACCGAAATGGATTGGGTGTTGAAGCACAGAGGTCCAAATAGTGCCGACACTGCCAATGATGGCTTTTCGCGCCTTCGAGGACTCCCATTTGGATGCACAAAAGAAGAAATTGTTCAGTTCTTCTCGGGATTAGAAATCATACTGAATGGGATCACTTTGCCAGTGGACACTGAGCAAGATTACAGGCGAAGCTTTTGTGCAATTTGCTTCACAGGAATTAGCTGAGAAGGCTCTAGGGAAGCACAAGGAAAGAATAGGGCACAGGGATATAGAAGTGTTCAAAAGCAGTCAGAAAGAAGTGAGATGATACTCTGATCCTCCTCTAAAGTTCATGTCTGTGCAGCAACCCGGCCACTATGACAGGCCACGTACTGCCCGGAGATACATTAGCATTGTCAAACAAGCAGGCTTTGACAGAATGAGGTCTGGGGCTTATAGCACAGGTTATGGGGACTATAAGGAGTATAGTGGCCTCAGTGACAGCTATGGTTTCACCACTGACTTATTTGGAAGAGATCTCAGTTACTGTCTGTCAGGAATGTATGATCACAGATATGGAGACAGCGAGTTTGCGGTTCAGAGCACAACTGGACACTGTCCACATGAGGGGGCTTCCATACAAAGCGACTGAGAATGACATTTATAACTTCTTCTCTCCACTCAACCCTGTGAGAGTGAATATTGAGATTGGCCCAGATGGAAGAGTGACCAGAGAAGCAGGTGTTGAGTTTGCCACTCATGGAGAAGCTGTGGCTGCCATATCAAAAGACAGAGCCAACATGCAGCACAGATACATAGAGCTCTTCTTAAATTCAACCACAGGGACTAGCAATGGGGCTTATAGTAGTTAAATGATGCAGGGCATGGGAGTGTCGACCCAGTCCACTTACACTGGCCTTGAGAGCCAGTCGGTCAGTGGCTGTTATGGGCCTGGCTATAGCGGTCAGCAGAACAGCATGGGTGGATATGACTAGTTTTCTAGAAGCATTTGAGAAAACTTCAAATTTTCACAGGCAGCCAGCAAGCAGTGGAAAGCATTTATTACTTAGAGGAAGCTGTGGGACCCATTTTGCACCATGAGTTGTGAAATCTGGATTAAAAAAAATTACCTCTTCAGTGTTTTCTCATTCAAACTTTCTTCTAGCATGTGATAAAGATACTGAGTAAACGGTAAAAAACTTATTTTCAGCTTTTCTCAATTAACATTTTGGTAGTATGTTTCAGAGTGATGTCTGAGTTAAGGTAGTTTGAAGTACGTTAAATGTGGCTCTTTGTCACCACGTTACAGCAAACACATTTGAGAGACATGCTTTTTTTGGAAAACTCAAAGGTGCTAGATCCCTAATCCAAAAAGAAGCATTTCTTTTCTTTTCTTTTTCTTTTTTGAGAAGCGTTTCTTATGTTTGTTTATTCTAGTTTGTTTTCATTCAAAATCTTAGGTTAAGTTTTAAGCTTTTAAAAGTTAATTTTGAAAATTGAGACACAATACTAATACTGTAGGAATTGGTAAGGCCTTGACTTAAACCTTTCTTTGTACTGTGATTTCCTTTTGGGTGTCTTTTGCTAAGTGACACTTGTTAACTAAATTTTTTTCTTAAAATAAAGATTTTTTTCCACAAAAAAAAGAGAGAAACTAATTTAAGAAAGAAATAAATAAAAGGGGAAACTCATTCCCTCACATCTGAGGGATCACAGGGGAAGGCTCCGCTGTGTTGGGATGATCGCAGCTCAGCTGCTCTGGCTCCACGTTCCTCGGTTCCTTGGCATCCACCATCCCTCATCTGTGTTCGTGTGTTTCTGAGTCTCTTTGCTCACTATAGCCAGAAGTGACTCCATTTAGGATATACCCTACACTGATGCACCTTAGTAACACATCAAAGAAAACCTTATTGCTAAATAGATTGACGCACAGTTTTCACAAAACAAACCACTCCATCATTGTGGGGTCAGTTCCAGTGCCTCGGACAGAGCAGAACTGTCCTGTGGGGTTTTCCAGGCCGTAATCTTTACAGACACAGACTGTCACGTCTTTATCTTCCAGAGCAGCTGATGGGTTCAAACCACACACCTTTGGGTTACCAGTCAAATGCTTAACCACTGTGCCACCTGGGGTTGGGATTCTAGCACCTATTTTGGAGAATACTCAGTTTGATCCATAATAGACTTCTTCACATGAAAGATTTCTGAAAGGACCAGGTGACATTATCAGAGTCTAGACTGGTTCATGTGTGTATGTACAGAGGCCTGGAGAGCCTATTCACCTGCTGTTAGTCCTGGAAAAGTTACCTGCCTGAATCGCAGGTCGCCAGTCCTGGTTTGCAGATCTGCCTGGATCTCTGACTGCTCCTGGAGGCATCCCAGCTCTCATTGACCCTGGGATGGGGGGTCCATTGGGAAACAGTCTGTGGTGAAACCAGCCTGGAGCTGCAGAAGGACAGGAATGAGGGGTCACCAGCGCCTGGCCGTGTCTGCGTCAGGTCTATGCCCACTCTTCTTAAGGTGAGCCAGCGTGAGCCGCCATTCGCCTTGACTTAACCTCCTTGCTTTCTGCCTTTTCTTTCCAAAGGTCAAGTGGATGATGTACTGGATTATATTTGCACTTTTCACCACAGCAGAGACGTTCACAGACATCTTCCTGTGCTGGTAAGTGCTCCAGGAGTTGGGACATTTCCTAGTCAAGAGGAGGAATGGGAAATGGCTGTAGCATCAGCCTCAGACCTGACCTCAGGCCAGCGACAGGTGTGTGAGAGTCTAACTGGTCACTGAGAAGACATTCGCTTGGACAAGTTACTCTTTCCGTACATAAGTGTTTATCGGCTGATCTTGTTTGCCATTGTTATTCCGAGCAATGAGAGTATAATGACGGACAAGACAGAAGATCTATGACAGGGCTGCTGCTGAGTAATGAATGGAAATTTGTAGAGCGTCAAAGCTTTGTTCTCCTCCAGGGCATCTTTCATTCTCTCCTGGTATCTGATAGATGGGTTACCTTTTTTGTCTTGATTCTCCTGCTCAGTGACAAACCCATAGGGGTGAGAACATGTTTAACCTGCCTTTTGGTATCCCTAATCCCTGGCCCACACCTTTCACCTAGGATGTCACCAGTGGAATTTTCCAGAGTAAGTGAAAGACTCTTTCAATACAAGAACAAATCAATAAATAGATAGTGGCTGGGTTTTAGTAGAAAAATGGGACGGGGGGGGGCGGGGGCAGAGAAAAGTTGAGCAATTAAAATGTAATAATTGTCAATAACAGTAGAATGTCACCTTGAAATTCTGGTTATTCTAATAAAGCGAGAAAGGGCCCACCTTTTAACTGAAGTCCTGAGAAGACCAGAAATTAGTGGGCTGTACCTGCTTCCTTTTTACCTTTTCTGAATAGCAATGCCAGCTTCCTGCCTGGGGAAGAAACCTCTTCCTTTGTGATTCTTCTGTGATGAGTTGACTGGGAATTCCCCTGGTCCCCCATCCATCATTTCAGGGGAACCCTGTCATTCAAGTAGAACACAAATGTGGAGTAAGCACATTCTTGTAAGTCCAGAGCTCCCTGGGGCAGCACCTGGATGGGCAGGCCTGGAGGCCACCCCAGAGTCTGCTCCCTGAGCTGTCACAGGAGGAGTTTAGCCAAGAAGTCCTGTGTTGAGAAGGCAGAGATTTTGGAGGCTGGAGGCTTTTAAGGCTGGGGCCTATAAGAGGAGCCCAGAGGCCCTGGAGGGTGTGTAGCGGCTGGCAGGGGCTTCAAGGGCCTCCAGTAGCCCCAGAGGACCACACAGAGACCAAAGCACAATCCGCTCCTCAAGCCCCTGGACTCCATAGGTTGGGACAGACACTCACGGGTCCCTCTACACAGTGAGGGAAACACGTTCTCACATACTCAGTGAGGAGGGGCAGCCACTGTGTGAGTACCACAGCCTCAGAAAAGGCTGGGTGCGTGTCCTGTGGACGTGAAGAAGCACACACGAGGAGGCCACTGCAGCTCTGTCATTGTAGAGGCCGGCTCATGGGGGCCTAGGGGGATGCTGGTACAGCCATAGATAGCCACTGAGAAGAGTCAGGCAATATACACCCACTGCTATGAGAGAGTGAGTGTGTGTGTGTGTGTGTGTGTGTGTGTGTGAGAGAGAGAGAGAGAGAGAGAGGAGAGGATGGAGAGGAGAAGGAGGACACAAGGCATTGGGGCATTGGAAGGTGTGGGGAGGTGTTGTTAAGGGACTTTTACATGCGTCTTGATTTTAGTTACTGTTGAGATTACTTTAACTCATGTGACTCAGCACTATGAAACTTCATGTGGTCTGCATCACCTTCATGTCATCTCGGCCACTGTAGATTTTAAGTGCATTCGCTTGGGGAATGAGCCCTGGTGGCATGGTGGGTTAGGCATTGGACTCCCCACCTAGAAGTCGGCAGTTAGAACCACCAGCTGTTCGCTCTTTGGAGATAGCGCTCTGGGGACCTTGGGGCCACCTAGTCTGTCCTGCAAGTTTGCTGTGAGTCAGAACCAACTGTTGACAGTGAGGGATGAGTTTGGTTTTCCACCCTTGTGAGGGCTCATCTCCCAGCCTTTTATCAGATAGTGTTCTCTTGTGATCATGGCCAACAGCCATTTCTTCGGCTAATTTTCAGAAATCGATCAGCAGCCCTTTCTTCCTGGTTTGTCATAGTCCAGAAGCTTTGCTGACACCTGTCCACTATGACTGCAGATATTTGAAATACTCATGCTGTAGCTTAAAGCATCCCAGCCACACAAGCCACCGCAGCATGGCCGACTGGCAGAGGCATGGGGTGCATATGCCTGTTCCGTGACTGCACCTCGCCATCATCTTACAGTCACACAGACTACAGTGGAGGGTCAGAGATGGCGGGGAAGACCCTCAGCACAGTGGACTGACATGGTGACTGTCGCAGGGGGTTCAAGCATGTCAGGGATGGAGAGGATGATGCAGGATAGAACAGCATTGGGATCCTTTCACAGGTGGTGCAACAGCATCTGAAAACAACATGATCTAACTCTGGAAGAACACGCTAAAAACTGATAATACCCCTTGCTTTTGGAAAAGAGGTATTGCCTCCCCTGCAGACACCAGGGGAGAGCAGCAGATTCTTTTTTGTATACCTTTGGGTTTTTGTAATGTTTTAAGCGATGTACCTATATTACCTCTTTTGGGGGGAGGAGAAGTCTTTTTCCTAATTAGAGGAGCAGCAGTGTGACAGGTCCTCTAGGGATTATTTGTGTCTTTTGTTGATGCCTAAGCTTGCCAAAGTTATTTGCTTTCTCCTTGGGACTAATAACTGGTTGTTTTCAAAACAGAATTTCCTCCTTAATCACCAGAGAGTTCAAAGGTGGTAGAACCACAGCCTCTGCTCTGGCAGTTCCGGCCAACTGCTTGCTGTCTGGGCAGCCTTCACTCTGTCTTGTTAGGCGAGTGTTCCTGGGGGCGTGTCAGAGCTGGCCGGCTGGCCATCTGGCAGTCTGTGAGAGAGTAAGAAGTGTCAAGTGGCCCCTAGAAAGTGTTGGTTGGGTCCCACTCCTTTATTTCTAATAGGGAGGGTTTACCTCGACTCCTTCCCATCATTTGCTCTTAGAAAGGTCCATCGTTTCCCTCTGAGCGTCAGGACTGCTAAGTTTGGCCGAGCAGCTTGTCCCATCATGAGGTAGCTGGTTGAGGGGGAGACAGCTGGAATCCAGGCTAAGTGTTGCTTGCCAAGCTGGGCGCCTGCAGCACCTCGTCCTGCTGCAGGGACTGATTGTCTAACAAAGGCACCACACAAGCCAGCAGAGGCCCTGGGCGGCACTCATCTCGGGTTTTCAGTGTGTATCTTTGAGACTGTTTGATTTATTTGTTACCCCAGGGGAGTAGGTCCAGAGGGGCCAGCTTCTTGTCTGTCTCCTAGTACACTGGCAGCTCACAGAAGACAGGGACCAGCTCTCCTTTGTTCATCATGTTATCGGCAATCCAGAGCACAGGCTGACACATACAGGTGCTGGGTGTTTGTGCAGTGGAGAAATGAACACTCAAGTGTGCAGGTTTCAGACTCCAGAGTCGTGTGTCATCTGCACCCTGCAGGCATCTTTCTCTTAGCATCAAAAAGATCAAGGCCTGTTTGCCTGTCCTTGCCTTGAGCAGCACACTGTTCCCTGGTGAGAGCTGGGTTCTCGCCCTTGGCTTCTTTGGGCCCAGAACACAGCCAAGAGCACTGAGGTGTTTTTTTTTTCTTCACTGCTGGCTCAGCTCTGCTGTGCTTCCTCCTCAAGGTGGTGTCTCCTTGGCTCTCAAGGAAACAGAGAGAGAGACACACACACACACTCACACACTCACACACTCACACACATACACACACACAGAGTCCTGCCTCTCCCCTGAGGTGGATCCTGGCCTCAGGGCATGACAGCTTTTGCCAGGCAGGGCATCAAGTGATTGATGGAGACGTCTGGGCACCTGGTTTGCTTTGACACTAAGAAGAGAGGAATTGGGCTTTCTGAGAGAGGCCTTGGAACTGTCACATGTGTGCTTGTGTGTGTGTACTCGCCTGCCCACCGGGGACTCCGTAGGGGTGTGCAGCACACCTGTGACCAGGTGGCGTCCATCCTGACAGGACGTGTGTTTTCTTCTCTGTCTCTCCAGGTTTCCGTTCTATTATGAACTGAAAATCGCTTTTGTAGCCTGGCTGCTGTCCCCCTACACCAAAGGCTCCAGCCTCCTCTACCGGAAGTTTGTGCATCCCACGTTGTCTTCAAAGGAGAAGGTAACCTTCTCCCAGCCGGCTCCTTCCAGCCAGGGTTGCCCTTTCACCTTTGGCTCTCATTTACCCCCACATTATCCCTTCAAGTCTTTTTTCTGGCAATAATATTTCCCTGATATGTTTAGGAAGATTAGTGAAATTCTCTAAAAGATGTTATTTATCAGTAGTTATTGTCCAACCTCAAAAACTTCATTGACATAGAGTCAGAATCCACTTAGAGCTGACCCTCTAGTGGCTTTTAAATCGCCCAGATTGAAAGATTTAAGATTGCCCATTTTTTGTACAGTGCTTCCATAAATTTTAAGAAATAAAAACTCACTCATAATTCAGCCCCCTGGATGGAATTCCCTTCCTTTTTTTATGCTAATCCCCATCCTTTTACAGGTATTTTTTTACATAGAGATGATGTAAGCTTTTATTTAGATTTCTAAAGCATGGCTTTAAAAAACCAAACCTACACATAGATTGTCTTGGTTGAAGATCTGTGTGGATTGTTTGGTTGTATTTATTTAAGCCCTGGAAGCAGGAGCGGCATCCACTTCCAAAATGGCTTGCCTCTGGAAACTCTATGTATGAACAGTGCTCAGGCTGTTCGTTCATAGGGTCGCTATGAGTCGTCTATGACTCGACGGCATTAAACAACAACAACATTTATTTAAGCCTTTTGTTTAAAGTCAACAAGACCTCCTGGGGGCCCTTATATTTAAAAGTTGGCCCTGAGGATTATATTTTAATCCCTTGTTACTGTATTTTGGAGCAACATTCTTCTAAGTCATACAGCACTCTGGGCAGTTTGGTGTGATGAGGTAATCTGGGTTTGCTGCGACACTGAACCTTGTGCCATTTGGGTTTTATATGCCATAATGGAACAACTGTGCCATAGGTGTGCCAAACACCATAATGGCTACCCATCGTGGGCAGTGTTTGGTGGCGCTCCCAGATTGATTCAAGATTGAGTCAAGTTTGGAAGCAGGAATGGCATCCACTTCCTAAACTACATGCCTCTGGAAACTCCATGAACTTGGAGAAATGATGATAATTATAGAAAGGCTTCAGACCTTTTGTTCATAAGGTCGCTGTGAGTTGTGCTCAACTCGACGGCAATGAACAATACATATATACAGTATATATATGCTGAGATCTTGAGGAAATTTGCTCATAAGCCAGTGCTTCTTGGTCTTCATAATGATGTACATTAATAGAACTGTTTTCTTGTTGCTGTTAGGTGTCCTCAAGTCAGCTATGACTCACTCATTTTATGAACAAATCTCAGCCTTGCCCAACCCTGTGTTGTCCATCCTCAGAGGCTCTGATATCATCAGGCACATTGTTACAGTCACTGTCTCTAGCATGGAATTTCATTTCTTTATCATTTGTTAATTCTAACTAAATACTCCAGCTATGAATATGTGCAGTGCTGTATAATTTGTTGATCGCAATTTGATTTTATAGTCTTCTTTATATAAAATAGGAGCACTTTGTCAGGATCTATTCATTTCTGTTGTTTCTGAAAGTTGACCTCGGTAAGTTTTGGGGAACACATCAACTATATGAGCAAGCTATTGTAAACATTATGAGAATCCCATTAGGAACTACGTGACACTTCCCATCTCAGAAGGGTGGATTTGGGGGTCAGGAGAGGTCCATCTTGACCTGGTTGTTAGATCCCTACACTTCCTGCCTCTCTTTCCTTGAACTCGAGGCTGCCAGTGCGCTCTTCATTGAAATGAAGGCGTCTGGCACATAAGAGCTACCATTGACCACTTATAGAGTCAGCTGGGGGTCACTGTTAGAGGCCTTCCTGCTGTGCCTTCCCAAGGAAGCTGTCATCAGAGAATTGAGCAGGGAGCTGCCTTGCTCCCCTGCAAACTTTAAAATTAAGGTCAGTCACCAGCATGTAGATATTGAACACGACTGAGGCCAAATGTATTGTCTACCTGACCTCTGCATTGAGCTTTGGTGAGTTCAGAACAGTCATTTGCATATGCCACCAGCTGCACCAAAATAACCCCAAATAAAGCGTGTGGATAAACCAGTTGATCCGAATTTGACCTAAGCCGGTATTAGCCTTTCATTGGTGCCTGATGGAGACTTCGGCCTGCTCGTCCAACACGTCTCTATCTGGCTGAGTGGTGTGGCCTGGGTCCTAGGTTCTGCTTTTTTTTTCCCCAATCTGTAAAATATCCCTTGCTGGAAAAAAAATAAGCCTCATTTCTTTCTGCTTCCTGATCTTTCACATTGATGTGCATTGTGATGTGTCAGGAGATCGGATAACGGACTGTTAGAGCTGCTGGGGCCCAGGGCTCTCAGGTGAGGAGCAGGGTATCTGGCATGTGGAGTCCAGCCTCCCTGTGCTCAGCCACTCCCTCCCACACCGTCCTCTCAGGACTCCAGGGCTGAGTTACCATCAGGATTCTCATCTCTCAGGAAATGAAGTTGAGCAGAGAGAGGCTGATGATTTCCAAGATGGTGAGTCGAGGTTAGACACGCAATTCTTAGCATCCTTTCCACATGGGCTTCTTCCCACACTTTCTATGGAACAGCAGGACTGTCCATGTTCAGGGTCCCCCAGGATCTCCCTGGAAGGCTGGGAGGTTGTAGAATCTTAAAAACATCAATATTTTCTGTTAGAGAGATGTTTCCTGAGTCAACAGGTCACCAACTTTTTAAAAAAAAGAATTCCCTTTTCCTATCCCCTGAATCTCCTGAGGCTTCCAGAAACATTTGTCATTGAAAATCCTATATGAACAGGCACTTCACCGAAGACGACATTCTGATAGCTAACAAACACATGAAGAAATGCTCAAAATCCCTAGCCCTAAGAGAGATGCAAATTAAAACAACTATGAGATATCATTTCACCCCAGTCAAAATAGCAAAATTTAACAGAACAGCAAGCAACAAATGCTGGTTGTGGAGAAACTGGAACCCTGATTCACTGTTGGTGGGAGTGTAAAATGGTGCAACCCCTGTGGAAAGCAGTATGGCGCTTTCTCAAAAAGTTGCAAATAGAGATACCATTTGACCCAGCAATTCCACTACTGGGAATATACCCTGAAGAGACCATAGCTGACATCCAAGCAGATATATGCACACCCATGTTTATTGCAGCTTTGTTCATAATAGCAAGGAGTTGGAAACAACCTAAGTGCCCATCAACAAACAAATGGTTAGAGAAGCTGTGGTATATTCGCACAATGGAATACTATGCTGCATTAAAAAACAAGGAACTCATGCAATATTATTCAAAATGGTTGACTCTGGAGAACATTATGCTGAGTGAAATATCCCAGTCACAAAAGGACAAATATTACATGATGCCACTGTTGTAGAATGGGACTGTCCTTGGGGTTGGGGAGAGACTGAGTAAGATGGGTTCAATAATGTATACTGCACTGAAACAGAGGAGGGAGAAAACTGTTTAAAAGAGATATATAACTAGGTATTTCTGTCATCACAGGAGACTAGAGTGAGGGCTACATGGTGGAGGGGACCTGGGGGAGGGTTTGTAAAACAATGAAAGAATCTTTTCTTTTACTTTTCCATAATTTTTGACTCATGTACTTATAACTTGTTAGTCAAATTTGTGTCTTCTGGGTTGCAACACCCCCATGATACATCTTCAAGGATATGAACATGTACGGCCAAGCACAATCAATAAGAGTGCATCTAAATTCCAAAATCAATCTCCATAATAGTCTATGTGTTTCCTACTGCCAAAGGGGCCCTTTAGAGTAGTGAGAGAAGATCTTCACCCTGAAACCCACAGCGTCCCTTTTCAGCAGGAAGTAGCTAAGAGAATACGCCATCCCCTTTTCCTTATGAGTCAGGGTGAAGTCTCTCTCAGGGAGGAGTGATAGGGAATGGCAAAGGACACACTGACAAAGAAGATTAATCAGAACTGGCTTTGACAAGCACTGTGGCATTTGGACAAGAACAAACTGGGAGGAGGGTAGAGAAAATAGTGCAACAATGAATGAATGGAAACCCAAAATCTCTGTAAATGTTTATGAAAATTAATAAAATATAATTATAGAAAAAAAACACACAAATAAGAAAAAAAAAAGGAAAATCCTATGGAACACAGTTCTGTTGTGACATGAGGGGTCACCGTTAATGGTAATCAACTCAATAGAGACTGGTTTAGTATCTCTTATTTTTCTTCCCCCTCTAACCTCCACACACGCACATGTGCACACATGCATGTGTACACATGTGTTCAGAGTGTCTAGCACTCATGGACTCATTGGTGAGTCAGGCTTGAAGTCCAGAGCTGGGGAGAAGGGAGAGAGAACAGAGATCTAGTCGGACCTTCTGTCTCAGGGCACCTCTTTTCTTCTTTGACAGGAAATTGATGATTGCCTGGTCCAAGCAAAGGACCGAAGTTACGATGCCCTTGTGCACTTCGGGAAGCGGGGCTTGAACGTGGCAGCCACAGCAGCAGTGATGGCTGCTTCCAAGGTACCAGCCAGCCCCTGTCCCCCAGCGTGTGAGCATCTCTGTCCCCCCACCCTGCCCTGCTCCACTATTGCAGCCCCCAAGGCAGGCTGAGGTCTACCTTCCTCATCTCTTTATGATCCCTTGTCTCTCGAGCACTGGGCATGTGCACACACACATACATGATATGTGTAAGCTTAAGATGTTCCAGAGGCCCTGAAGCTTCTCTGTGGATCTCAGGCCTCCAAGTTACTTTGAGTTAAGCCTGAGAGAAAGAGGGAGAGGGGAAGGAGAAATGGCTCTCATCTCCATCCTCCCAAGATCCCATGGAGAGTAACAGAACTCAGAGTGGAGAGGCTTCCTGAGTGAGTAGCACCCACCCGTGGGGCCAGCAGACAAGGACGGACGGGGCCCACCCAGGGTAAGCTGAGTGGTCAGCATTGCCAGCACGGAGGACAATGGATGCGCGTAGCAGCGATACCCCAGACAGGGAGGGTTGAAGTAGACCCTGGCGTGTGGGATGTTGTGATCTGACCACAGGGTCTCTTCCCTTGAGCCTTCTGCGTTCTACTCTGTTCCTTCCCAGCTGCTTCTCACTCCACACTCTGCTCAGAATTGTGTCAGTTTTTCATTATGTAGTGAGCCCTGGAAAGACCCGTCAGTCAGCTGTGTGTTCTTGGAGTAAACCCAGCAGTTGCCATCTAATTCCTCGGTGACAGTCCTTTATCCGCAACCCCACTGTAGTCTAAAGGTCTGCACGTGGCTGGGGTGAAGGAGAGGCAGTGAGGCTAGTGTTCAGGAAGATTCAGTGGTTAATGAGTGGAATTATCAAAGTGAAGCTACTTGGATGGAGAGGTAAAGGTCTAGGGAGGGAGGCGGTGAGGCCCAGAGAGGACCTGAAAGAGGGTGGTTAATGCAGGTCTGGGTGCCCCATGCACTTTGATGGGCTGGCAGGGTAACATGTGCTGAGACTCTCCAAGGGCCAGGGGCCTGAGCTGAGTTTTCTGTGCTCTGAATCGAGAAGAAACATGTCAGGAGCATTTCTGGGAAAGGATTAGGTATTTGTTGGAAGTCAAGGAGTTCTGCAGACACAGACTAGGAGGGAAGGAGGAAGAATGGGAAGCCAGAGGTTGCTGTTTCAGACAAGGCTTGCCCTTTCTGTGGGAAATGTTGTGCTCCCCACCACCACCACTGCCTAGAGTCCCTGCCCATCACAGTGCAGTAGCCACTAGTAAGCTGTGAGCTCCTAGTGACTATCTTTGGAAGAAAAATCTACTTGGATGTCTCAAGGGAGTTACGAGGAACAGTGGTTTACCAAGTAAAACTACTGTTTGAGATGGAATCACTCCATGCATTTATTTTTAATCCCAAAGAGAACACCATTTGTGAATTCTCAGCATGTCAGGCCAGCCTTGCAACATGAAAAGTCCTTTCCCACCATCCTCTGCTTCTGATTCCTCAAGTCACAGTTCAGTTGTAGAGTGTAAGGTGTGTGGATCACAGTGACTTGTGCTGGGCTGCATGTGGACATTCATTCTGATGGTGACTTCTGCAGGGCCGTCCTTTTCCAGGTCTGCCTCAAGCTGGAGCCTCCGGATCCTTGAGCCTGTCTTGGCCCGAGGTTCCTCAGCGGTCACCGCCTGTCCCTGTGACCTCCCAGGGACCCGTGCTCCCGAGACTTCTCCAGCCAGGCACCAGACAACAGCTGAAACCAGAAGGAAGCCCCAGACAGCCTGGCACTTGCCTTACAAAATAACTGCTCGTTCATTCTTTTCAGATAACGGAAGGAGCTTGCGCTTTCTGCTGAATTTGGCTTCCAAGGAGATGTTCCATCTTGGGGGAATGTTGCTTTTCCTCTCTAAATAGAAATATCTTGAGAGAGAAAAATACATCTTCACTTCCAAAAATAATACTTTGTGTTTTAGAAAGAGCTAGCTGTGTACTTTTTTTAAAAAAAAAAGTTAAATATCTATCCTGGCTGAGGTGTAGATAAATGGTTTCTGTAGCAACAGTGGAGCACTCCAGGCAGAGGTCAAACAGCAATGACTCCCTTCAAACCAAATCACTCACCCTTTGGATTCCAGCTCACAGCCACCCTGTAGGACAGAGCAGAGCTTCTCCGCAGGGCCGCCCAACCTGAAATATTACAGACACAACTCACTCATCTTTCTCCCACAGATCAGCTGGTAGATTTGAACCATCGACCAACTTGGCTAGCCAAGAAAAGCTCATAATCACTGAGTCACCAGGGCTCCTTGATGACTCACCAGAAGACCAAAGTCTGATTTCCATGTCCCAACCAACAGGGACGCTTTGTTAGGTTTTGTTTTTTAGTAGATTCTCAGAAGTGCTGACTACGAACTGAAGGCAGTGGGCCCATGAATCTCTATTTTTGACAGTTTCTTCTCCAAATGAATTTTAATTAGCTGGCCCTACACAGGCCCCTGCCTGATACCCCATAAGGACAGAAGCGATTGAGCTTGGAACAGTCAACTTCTTTACCTTTCCGGGGATGCAGGCTTATTCCCCCTGAGAAGCACTAACCTTGAGAAAGAAGAAAGTTGTGTGGGGGACAGTTTATTTCCCCAACACGTAGTGCCTGCGAGAAGGTACTATGATGGAAATACAAACCCTTCCACCTCTGTTTGGCCCTTTGCCCCCAGAAGAATTCTTAGCTGCCTTCTTGATTACCTCAAGAAAGGGGCTGCAAAGAACACCTTCTGCCGGTCACCCATGGCTGGGGTGACCAGCTGATTTGTTGTCCAAATCACAGCATGTTAGACAGCAGGAAGTGTGCTGTAATAGTCACTGCGGGACAGCAAGCATACACTCAGTCTGTTTCAAGAAAACTGGGACTTAAACTCCCCCTACCTTTCCAGGAGGGAGCTCTGATAGCCTCGTGGGTAAGGAGTTGTACTGCCAACCCAAAAGCAGGCGGTTTGAATCCAACCAGCTGTTCCAAAGGGGTAATAGGCAATCTCCTCCCAAGCAACTTACAGCCTCTGAAAACCCACTAAAAGGTCAGCCAGGAGTCACTTCTGACTTGATGACCCATAACAACAACCACCTTCTCAAGAAACCCCATTGCCATTGAGTGAGTTCTAACTCGTGTTTGACGGTGACAGGGTTTGAAGTTCCTCGGAGGTGCAGGTAGTTAACATGCTAGCCAAAAGGTTGGAAGGTGGGGGTCCACTAAGACTCTTGAGAAGGAAAATCTGCTGGTCCACTTCCAAAAACCCAGCCCCCGGAAGCCTGCAGTATACCCCGCTTCTGGCTCCATTTGGAATCACTTGGATCCTGCCTGTCTCTAGCTCCCAGAAAATGCCCTCCCCTCACAAATTACTTCTCACATTGCACTTATCTGGAGGGATGTAAGAGAGATCATGAGGTGACAGGAACATGAACCAGTGGTGAGCATTTGAAAGGAGAGTGGATCAGGGAGTTGGCAAGGCCCTGGTGCCTCATCTCTGTCACCTTCTATCCTTTCATGGCTTCCAGGAGGAAACACAGACTTGTATGGAAGAAGGCAGGTTCTTTTAGCTATGCTTTTAGGTAGTACTTTTTAAAAAACAGAATGTAGACCTCCCGCCCCCAATAAAATTAATATTTACAGTTCTTCAGATCATTGTGAACTGGGAACAAACTCTGTAAACTATATTGTGGTACAAATACATGTAATTATAAATTATATTTTATCTTAGAATAGAAAATCAGATGTGTGACATTTCTCTCTAAGCCTGTTAGCCTCTTTTCTCTCCCTTAAGCTACTCTGGCTCCTTCCTGAGGACAGCCATTCTCCAGCTTGCTCTGTCAGCATGCCCAGTCTCCTGGCTGGTTCTGTTTCTGGTGTTAGCTGTTTTCTTGCCCTGAATCTCATGCAGGGAGAAGACCAAGTTCATGTCTTCTTAAGATTAGAATTAGAAATATTTTTTTTAAAAAAACAAAACAAACAACAACCTGAAGGAATGTATTAAGCACAAATGTCTCACTAGAAAGAGAAAATGAAGTGAGAAAACACAATTGAACAAAAGTTCTAAAACTGTAAAGTATTTCCAGTCACTCTATTGCCCTTGATATTAAACCATGTTCCAGGTTTGGCCCACCTTCCCAGTTCCCAGGCCTGGTAAGCCATCCTTATTTGTTGCTTATCTTGTAACTAGGAAAGTGATGTTTGGTTATCTTAGAACAGTCCCGATGGTCCCAATCCAGCTATTAGAGTCATCTTTCTGAGGCCACAGTTCTAAGTGGACCTTCTGTGCACTGTAGAACCTTCTCCCCAAGTTGGTTTCCGTGTGTGTGCTTATGGCTTCTACCCTTGAATCTGTTCTTTCCATAGTAGCTTGTTAGCTGCTCTGGTTACAGGGTTCTGTCTTGTCTTGCTAGCTTTGGAGCAACACAACAAAAAGACCCCTGGTTCCTAGTAACTTAGTGCTATGCATGTGTCCTAAACCTGTTGATTGATTTGAAGAATAAAACCTTTTTGATCCCCCCAAGTCTCTCTGTTTAATATGTGGGTGCAGAGAATCCCACTCCATGTCATCCTTTGTACAGACAACTCCTATTTGCTGATTCAATGGTGTATAACTCTACCCTCACTTTAAAATAAATGAACCAGCTCCTTCTACGCTAAACAAATTTCTTTATCATAGCCAGTGCTCATGCAGTTTTTAAATTATTGAAAAGACTTCAGGCCTTTCCTTGGAAAACATACATCTGTTCCCACTTCCCTGCACATTCTTTAAAGCAGACGTAGGAATTGGATCTCGTTGTAAACCAGGGATTGCCTACATTAGATTTTGCATTGGGTAGACTTGGAATTCAGTTCCTCTCTTCTTTCAGGCGCTCTTGTAGCTGGTGGCTTGCATAGGTGCAGGACACCTCCATCATCACAGAGCCTTATTTTGAATTCAACCCCTTTGGTTTCGCTTTGCTTTATTTGTTGCCCATCTACTGGCCAGAGGACACCTGCTCTGACTGAGGAAGGACCGCATCTCTTACCTCTGCAGCTCCTGGGTGTCTCTGAA